ACGTTTTCGACCTGAAGCTCTTATTAATCGTTAGAGTTGTCCCAACTCAATAATAATTCTGAACACAAAATTCAAAATATTGCTCCTCTTTTTTTGTTCGAAAATAGTACAGATCTGGTTCGCTGAAATCAGAATTTCAAGAGAAACTTTTTTCAAATTGTCACCAGAAACTACATTCTTTAGTTTAAAAATAAAAAAACAAAAAACAACAACAAACAAACAAACAAACAAACAAACAAACAAACAAACAAACAAACAAATAAAATAAAACAAAAAACAGTCATGTTTTATCTTGTAGCATTGTTTTGTTTTGTGTAGTGCGTAACCTTGTGTGACTGTACAGACAAACTGGAGAGATATTTTGACACTGAGTTAACAACGTCACGGTGACCCAAGAGTAGACCCACGAAGTGAGGAGATGCCAGCTGAGTGTATATAAATTTATACATTTTGTTAAAGTACGTTCCAAATGGAGGGCGAAAGTTAACTCTTATCGCCGTGAGAGGTAGCGGGCTCACAATACTCCAGCCTTGTAATGAGGCGTCAACTTCTCTTTGTGATCAGGGTCAAGGTCAGGCGCGCCTCTACTGTTAGCAGTTGGCTCATTGCTCAGAGAGGGTTTCCCCCCAGATGTTCTTCTTCTCTCCATTCTTTTGTCTTGTCGTTTTTTTTCTGTCTTCTTCTTCTTCTTCTTCTTCTTTGCTTCTTTGCTTTTTTGTTATTTCCTTTCTTTCGTTCTGAGGAGTGATTGCACTGGAAACTGTGGCGTGTATCTGCCTTAGCGAGTGGAGGAGGTCATACCGGCTTCTGGGGCTGCAGTTGTTACCGGCGTCCGCGTTGCGCGCGGGAGTCGTGAGTTCGATTCCCCCGCGAGGGAGTTCATCTTATTAACTATGTCCACCTTTCTGCTGAGATGCTGTATCCTGCTTCGCTGCCCAGGGTGATCCTGATAGGAAGATTCGAAACAGCTCGCCTCCAAAATAATCTCTCTTTTTCACTCGCTGTATGTGTGTCTCTCTGCTTTATTATTTCTCTTTCTCCCCCCCCCTTCTCTCTCTCTCTCTCTCTCTCTCTCTCTCTCTCTCTTTATTTCGCTTCGTAATATCTCTTAATCTCTCCTCTGTTTTTCTTTTTTTTATAATACTGATATAATTAAATATCAATAATAACAGACAACGGGAAGAAATACAGGTAAAGGGGTGGGCTATCTGTATCTTCTCGTCTCTCTCCCCCCCTCTCCCTCCCTCCCACTCTCCCTTTCTCTCTCTCTCTCTCTCTCTCTCTC